CAATGAGTGTGTAGGGGAGCGGCCTTATATTTTTTTACATCCCTGTGGGAAACAAAGCAACAGCAGTGCTTGTTAACACTCCTTCTATCTGGGATGGTCGTCCTCTTCCACCGAGCACGCAGCTTCGGAGGGACGCACATGGAGCGGTGAGGGAGGTAGGGGACACCCGCCTAGCCAGCCAGATCAGCCGAATCAACCCTGGCGATCAATGGGGTGACAGATGTCGCAGCCAGATCGCCCTCACATCCAGCTTGTTAACACTTTAAAGATGAACAATTGTATAATGGCAGAACCCACTTCATCAGATGCTGCCTCTTTATGGCAGTGGCTCCTTTTGAACACTCACATTACACAGTTGCCAACCTCCTGTTGAGGTCTGGAGAGCTCCTGGAAACTACAACTGATATCCAGTCTGTAGAGATCAGCTCCCCTGGAGAAAATGGCTGCTTTGCAGGGTGGACTCTGTGGCATTATACCCTACTGAGGTCCCTCCCCTCTTCAAACCCTGCCCTCCCTAGCCCCCACCCTTAAATCTCCAGAAACTTCTCAACCTGGAAATGACAACTGTACATATACATCTTGTAGGATCTTTGTCATAAGAACATAAGAGAAGCCAATGTTGGATCAGGCCAATGGCCCATCCAGTCCAACACCCTGTCACACAGTGGCCATAAATACCAGGTGATATCGGGAGGTCCACCAGTGGGGCCAGGACACTAGGAGCCCTCCCACTGTTGACCCCCCCAAGCACCAAGAAGATAGAGTATCACTATCTATACCTTGTGGCTAATAGCTACTGATGGACCTCTGCTCCATATGTTTATCTAATTCCCTCTTGAAGCCATCCATGCTTGTAGCCGCAGCCACCTCCTGTGGCAGTGAATTTCATGTGTTTGTCACTCTTCAGGTGAAGAAGTACTTCCTTTTATCTGTTCTAACCAGACTGCTCAGAAATTTCATTGAGTGCCCACAAGTTCTTGTATTATGAGAAAGGGAGAAAAGTACTTCTTTCTCTACCTGCTCTATCCCATGTATAACCTTATAAACCTCAATCATGTCACCCCTCAGCTATCGTTTCTCCAAGCTAAAGCGCTCCAAGTGCTTTAACCTTTCTTCATAGAGAAAGTGTTCCAACCCTTTTATCATTCTAGTTGCCCAATAAGTTCCCCAATGCTATAATAGTCTTTTTGAGGTATGGTGACCAGAACTGCGCACAGTATTCCAAATGAGGTCGCACCATTGATTTATACAGGGGCATTATGATACTAGCTGATTTGTTTTCAATACCCTTCCTAATAATCCTGAGCATAGCACTGGCCTTCTTTATTGCAGTTGCACACTGTCTCAACATTTTCATTGAGTTACCTACTACAACTCCAAGATCTCTCTTCTGGTCAGTTTCTGCCAATTCAGACCCCATCAATGTGTATTTATAGTTAGGATTAATAATAATAATAATAATAATAATAATAATAATAATAATAATAATAATGATAATGATAATGATAATGATGATGATTTATTTGATTTATTGATTGCTCTTTGCCACACACCTGCGGGCTCAGAGCGATTTACAGTTACTCCTTTCATTTTTGGCTCCAATGTGCATCACTTTGCACTTGGCTACATCGAACCCCATTTGCCACGTTGACGCCCACTTGCCCATCTTCAACAGATCCCTTTGGAGTTCCTCACAATTCTCCCTGGTTCTCACCACCCTGAACAACTTTGTGTCATTTGCAAATTTAGCCACTTCACTGCTTACTCCCAACTCTAAATCATTAATAAACAAGTTAAAAAGCATTGGACTGAGTAACGATCCCTGTAGTACCCCACTGCTTACCACCCTCCACTGAGAAAATTGCCCATTTCTACTCACTCTTTGTTTCCTATTAATAAGCCAGGTTTTGATCCACAACAGGACTTGTCCTTTTATCCCATGATTTTTGATCTTACTTAGGAGCCTTTGATGAGGAACTTTAACAAAAGTTTTCTGGAAGTCAAGGTAAACAACATCTATCGGGTCCCCCTTGTCCACATGTTTGTTCATTCCCTCAAAGAAAACTAACAAGTTAGTGAGACAAGATCTTCCCTTACAAAACCCATGCTGAGTCTGCCTCGATAGTTTTTGTTCATCAATATGCCTACTAATTCTTTCCTTAATAACAGTTTCCACCAACTTACCAGTATCGACATCAGACTGACTGGCCTGTAATTTCCTGGATCTCCTCTGGAAACCTTTTTAAAGATGGGTGTGACATTAGCTACCTTCCAGTCCTCAGGAATGGAGGCAGATTTTAATGAAAGGTTACATATATTTGTCTGGAGATCCACAAGTTCACATTTGAGTTCCTTCAGAATTCTCGGATGTATGCTGTGATGACTCTGACCCTGTATTACGGCACTAGCCTACCGCCTCTAAGTTTATTGCCCTAACCCACTCCCACTCCCAGAGACCTACAGGGTACGAATTTACCTTTTCCCAGGGTCGTCCTCATCAGCACACTGAAAGAATTATAGCAGGAGAACCCATTGCACCTTTGGAGGTGATAAGGTGGGAACTGAATAAACTGAATCAAGCCCACAGCTTGTGGGGTGAGGATGCTTATGACTTCTCCCTTGCTGTATTTCCAACTTGAAATGAGGAAACGTCTGTGTACCACATCATTATGCTTGGAGTATACATTCCAATCCCAAAGAAGGGCAATGCCAAGGAATGTTCAGATGATTGCACAATTGCACTCCTATCACACGCTAGCAAGGTCATGCTCAAGATCCTACAAGCTAGGCTTCAACAGTACGTGGATAGAGAACTGCCAGAAGTACAAGCTGGGTTTCGAAGAGGTAGAGGAACTAGAGATCAAATTGCCAACATTCGCTGGATTATGGAGAAAGCAAGAGAGTACCAGAAAAACATCTACTTCTGCTTCATTGACTATGCTAAAGCCTTTGACTGTGTGGATCACAACAAACTATGGCAGGTCCTTAAAGAGATGGGAGTACCAGACCACCTCACATGTCTCTTGAGAAACCTGTATAAGGGCCAAGAAGCAACAGTTAGAACCGGATATGGAACAACTGACTCCACCCCCGGCTCGATCTCACCGCCCCGCCCCGATGCGAGGGCCAGCGGCTTGCAGCCGCCTGGGCCTCGCTGGTTCCCCCCTCCGAAGCGAGGGCCGAGCGGCTACAGCCACCGGGCCTCACTGGCCTTTCCCTCCCCCCTCCGAAGCGAGGCCCGGTGGTTGTGATAGTAGGTTGGAAATGGCCACAGTCAATATGCTCTGAGCTTCTTGGAGAATGGGCAGGGTAACAGGGCTACACTTACAAATAAATGATCCAAGCTTGAGTCCTAACAGCATGCGGGAAAGGTACAGGGCAATCCTAAGAATGTTTGCTCAGGAAACAAAAGAATAAGTGGAGTTTTGAGTTCTTCCTCAGGTTGGGCATTGAGCTCTGGCTCTGTATCAAATAAAGTGACTTAATATATTCATGCGATCAAAAGTTCTGGTGTTTTTGGAGAGTGATGTCTTCTACCCAGGCTCTGCCATCACCTTAAATTGTATAAATCTGAATAATATTTTCCCAGGTATAAGGCACACAGTCTTGTCATACCATCATAGCATGTATCCAAATACCAACTGTTGTATCCGCTGGTATATCCCTCAAAACTCAAATGACTAAACTGACGCTATCGTACAAGAGTCAATGGCAAAGACAGTAAGGCTAGGGAAAGTGGAAGGCAGCAGGAAAAGAGGAAGAGCCAACATGAGGTAGATCGACTCCATCAAGGAGGCCACAGGGCCCTCAGTTTGCAAGACCTGAGAATGGCTGTGATTGGCAGGACATTTTGGAGATTATTAATTCATAGGGTTGCCATAAATTGGGAGTGACTTGATGGTACTTTAACACACACAAGTTTCAGAAAGACTTCAGGAGTGCATTTGGGCAACTGCAAGAAACAACTACTAAACTTCTGGTAATTTTTGGAGCAATCAATTTCAGAATTCTTTGGCATCATAAGTCCTTTAAGGCATCATGATAAGTAAAATGAATCTGTAGCTGAAGAGAAGAGAAGCCCCCCCCCCAACATAGGCTGTGTTTCTGGTTTCTTCTTGTTAAGTCGTGCGCTTAACAAAGAAGTCGGAGAGTGATTCAGCAAGAATGCGGTTTATTCTTCAGCTCTCTTACTTCTCCGAACACGGTACAACAATCGCCAGCCAGAACCCATCATCTGAACTCCGACATATACTGGCTGCTCTGTATTTAAACATTCCCGGCTAATGTAGCCACACCCACTGTACAATAAGCAACCTATGAGGTTGAAGCAATAAGGACCAATCACAAGCGATCCCGCTCTGCACGGTGATTGGCAAACATATTCTGGGCTAGGGCTCCTATTGGTTACATTAGGATCCTAGCCCAGGGCGAAGCTTAACATTGACTCTCAATGGCACAGTTCACAAGGCAGTTATATACATCTCAAAGCAAAAACACTATGTACAATCATATTCGCTTAGATAGGTGGGCACTCTGCGTATCCGCTGAGACCTCCGCGGCGTAGGAGGTTCAGGGCACCTCTGACTAGGAGGCACTCGGCTTGACTCACTCTCGAGTGGGTCAGGTATGTTACCATCCCCTGTAGCGGGTCCAAGAGAAGGGGTCTGCCCTCCCTCAGGGACAGTACTGGGCTCGGCAGGCTCGGCAGTACTCACCTCCGGTAGAGGTATGGGATGGTCATCTGGGTCCGGTAGCTCAGTTGGCTGCGAGGTGGGGCGGCCAGTCGCCCACCGCTGCCTCAACTGGTCTACATGCCGTCTCCACTTGCGCCCGTCCGCAAGCTGGACAACATACATGCGGGAACCCACAACTTCAGTTACCGTGGCTGGAAACCACAAATGTCCCCCGGCATAGTTTCTGGCAAAAACAGTATCACCGCATTCGTAAGTGCGGACCTTATTGGGAACACTCTGCTGCTGGGGCCTCAAGTCGTTGAGGTCTGGATGCAGCCTATCCAGCAAAGACGCTAGGCGTCGCCCCATCAATAGCTCGGCCGGGCTGCGGCCTGTGGCAGAGCACGGCGTTACGTGTTGCCGTAGAAGGAATGACGCTAGTTTCACTCCCCAATCCCCGGATGTTAGCTTGGCAAGCGCATCCTTGGTCGTGCGGACCATTCGCTCTGCCTGCCCGTTCGATGCTGGGTGGAACGGGGCAGACGTAATTTGCCTGATGCCATTGTTAGCCAGGAATTGAGCAAACTCTTGCGACACGAACTGAGCGCCGTTATCGCTTACCAGGACATCAGGCAACCCATGCGTGGCAATTAAGCGGCGCAACACATTTATAACAGCAGTGGAAGTGGTGGTAGACATTGGCGCCACTTCCAACCATTTCGAAAAAGAATCCACTACAATCAAAAACATTTGACCCTGTACTGGGCCCGCCAAATCTATGTGCAGCCTCGACCAAGGCTTCCCCGCCGATTCCCATTTCTGTGGGAAGGCGGTTGGCGGTTCGGGTCTCGCCTGCTGGCATGGCGTACACCCCCGTACCCACTCTTCAATGTCAGCATCCATCCCAGGCCACCATACATATCCCCGGGCCAGAGCCTTCATATGCACCATGCCGGGATGGCCCTCGTGTAGTGATTTCAGCACTTTTTCGCGCCAGCGTTGCGGTACAATCACTCTGTTCCCCCACAGCAAACAGCCCTTTGATACCGACATTTCGCTTTCCCGCGTTTTGTACGGTTTGAACTCCGGCTCCAACGTTCCTGCCGGCCACCCCCTCCACACCCAGTTAATAACACGACTGAGCACAGAGTCTTTTGCTGTCGCAGCAGCAATGTCCTTAGCAGACACAGGTGCCTCCGGCAGTTCCTCGATAGCTAGAATGGAGCAAGTAGGAGCAGGGTCCAAGTCCTGGCCGGGCAGAGGGCAGCGGCTGAGCGCATCAGCGTGTCCAATGGCCTTACCCGGCCTGTGCTCCAGGTCGAACTCGTAGGCTGAGAGGAACAAAGCCCACCGCAACATGCGTGCGGACATAACATCAGGGAGTTGCCGGTCCTGGGCAAAAATCCCTAGCAGGGGCTTGTGGTCTGTCACCAGTATGAATCTCCGTCCAAACAAAAAGTCATGAAACTTCTTAACAGCGGAAACTAGCGCCAAAGCCTCTTTGTCAATCTGCGCGTAGTTTCTTTCCGCTGCTGTTAGCGACTTGGAATAAAAGGCGATAGGGGCTTCCCGCCCGTCGGGCATTACGTGGCTCAGCACAGCTCCCACCCCAAATGGGGACGCATCAGCAGCTAACACAAGCAGTTTGTCCTCATCATAATGTGTTAACACTGCATCAGACGACAACAATTTTTTCACCCCATCGAATGCCCGCTCATGCTCTGGACCCCACCTCCATTTTGTGTCTTTATGCAGCAGGTTGTGCAATGGGGCCGCAATCGACGCCTTGTGGGGCAAGAAGGCGTGATAAAAATTAAGGAGTCCTAGGAAGGACTGTAACTCCTTCTTCCCTTGTGGCCGTGGGGCATTCTGGATTGCGGAGACCTTATCGTTAGTAGGATGGACCCCAAACTCATCCACCCGGAACCCCAAGAACTCCACACTCGGGACTCCCACCAGGCACTTCGACTTTTTTACCTTCAGGCCCGCATCAGAAAAACGTTTGAGCACCTCCCGCACTCGGCACAGCAGCTCGTCATCAGATTTGCCCGCTATTAAGACATCGTCAAAATAGGGCACCGTGCCCGGCACCCCCCTCAACAACCCCTCCATGAGGCTCTGAAAAATCCCCGGCGCAACATTCACTCCGAATTGGAGTCGATTTACTCTAAACGCCCCCCTATGCGTTACGATGGTCTGGGCGTCAGCCGCCTCTTTGGTCACGGGGAGTTGTTGGTACGCTTGGGCCAGGTCGAGTTTGGCGAATACCTTCCCTCCTCCCAGTGATGCCAGTACGTGGCTAATGACTGGTACAGGGTACGAATGCTGCTGCAAGGCTTTGTTAATCGTGCACTTGTAGTCAGCGCAAATTCGTATTGACCCATCGGGTTTAATTGGAGTAACAATGGGGGTTTCCCATTTACTACAAGGAACTGGTTCCAACACCCCTTGTTCAAGTAGCTTATCGAGTTCAGCCTCGATCTTTGCCTTGAACGGAATGGGCACTTTCCTGTATTTTAGGCGTATAGGGCGTATAGCAGGATCCAACTCAAAAGACACTGGGGGACCATTATACTTTCCCAATCCGCCCCCAAACACTTCAGGAAATTCAGCATATAATACAGCCCATTTATTTTCCACAACGTTATTAACTCCCACAACAGCAATACCCAGAGGCTCAAACCAGTCCAACCCGAGCAGGTTGGTACGGTTTCCCTCAGCGATCAAACATGAAAGCACAGCACCTTTCCCTTTGAAATTAACTGTAAACGTATCCCTCCCCGCCAGAGGAATTCGATTTCCCTGAAAATC